TTCAGAAATGTATTACAAAATATTAACTGATAAAGAGTTATCGATTGAAGACTTTTGGCCCCTCTTGGCCCCTAATTCGAGTGCCCAGCCCCTTTTTCAGGGTCTCATCTTAAAGATCTTACGATTTTGAACATTTTTTGTTTAATAACTTTTCAGAAATTCTTTTTCGTTTTTGAGCTATAAGCAAAAGAAATATTTAGGGGCCAACCCTTCAACTCCTTAATGGGGACGTTTAGCAAAAAATGAAAGGTTGCATATTGTTTAGAATATAATTTTGAACATCTTTTGTTCAATATTGCTTATCAAAATATTTTTCCCTTTCGAGATATAAAGCGTCAAAGATTTAGCATTCTGGCCCCTTTTGGCCCCTAATTATGTAACATACGACATAAAAATTATAATATATAGTTGTAGATGGTTGAGATAAACATCTTTGCTTCAGTAATGTATTACAAAATATTAACTGATAAAGAGTTATCGATTGAAAACTTTTGGCCCCTTTTTGCCCCAAATTTGAGTGCCCAGCCCCTTTTTCTTGATTTCGTCTTAAAGCTCTTATAATTTTGAACACTTTTTGTTCAACAATTATTCAGAGATTCTTTTTCGTTTTCGAGTTATTTGCAAAAGAAATATTTAGGGGCCAACCCTTCAACTCCTTAACGGGGACGTTAAGCGAAAAATGAAAGGTTGCAGATTGTTCAGAACATTATTTTGAACATCTTTTGTTCAATATTACTTATCAAAATATTTCTCACTTTCGAGATATAAAGCGTCAAAGATTTAGTATTCTGGCCCCTTGTGGCCCCTAACGATGTATCATACGACATAAAAATTATAATATATCGTTGTAGATGGTTGAGATAAACATTTTTGCTTCAGTAATGTATAACAAAATATTGACTGATAAAGAGTTATCGATTAAAGACTGTTGGCCCCTCTTGACCCCTAGTGTGATGAGTCAGCACTTTTTTCTTGATATCATATGAAAGATCTTGTCATTCTTCACAAATATTGTTCAGTATGTTTTCACAAAATATTTATACTTTAAGAGATATGATGCAAAATGTCTCAAAAAATCACTCATAATTCATGTCCTAGATTTCGACCCCTACCGAGCTTCCATACTAGGCACTTCCGGAAGATTTGAAAGTACAGGTGCAAAACTACAATATGTCTTCTATTAGTCCTGAAAAGGACAACATTCTAGCTTTTGTCGTTTTTGTGTCGACAAAATGGTCACTAAAAATTCGATTAAAGGGCAATAACTTCCGACCGGAAGTGATTTTTTAAAAAATGAAAAATATGAATAAGGTTTAGTTCATGATACATCGTTCCTGAAAATTTCAAGTCAATCCACCCAAGCATCTCTGAGAAATCGTCTGCACAAAAATGTGTAAAGAAAAAAATAATAATAATAATAAAAGTGAAAAAGAAACAATAGAATAATAGAAGGGTCTTCCGCTGGAGACGGAAGACCCTAATAATAATAATAATAAGAAACAGAGTAAAAACAATATGTTCCCCAACTTCGTTTGGGGAACATAATAATAAGAAACCGAGTAAAAACAATATGTTCCCAAACTCCGTTTGGGGAACATAATAATAAGAAACAGAGTAAAAACAATATGTTCCCCAACTTCGTTTGGGGAACATAATAATAATAATAAGAAACAGAGTAAAAACAATATGTTCCCCAACTTCATTTGGGGAACATAATTACTAGTATGTAATTTTGACGATTGAAATTTACGAGAAAAAAAAATCATATCAAATTAACATATATCATTGAAACCAAATTTTTCAATTACATAAATCAAACTTTTTAAACGGACTTAGATATGTTTAATTTTTATGTCGCTTGCATGGCCCAGTGGTTAAAGTACATGCCCTAGAGCCACGAAATAAGGAGTTGAATCCCACTGTGGGACGTGGAGATCTATATAGTAGAAACAGAGGTCCCGTGTCGCAGAAGGTGTTGACAGGAAGATCCCTCACTGCTCAATGACCCTGAGTGCAGAGTATGGGGCAAAATTTGTAGCAAAATTTGAAAAGTATTGTATACAAATCACTTACCCTAAATTCGATTGACATGGTCAGAAGGACACGAAGAAGCGTAAAATCATATAAAATCCAAATGCATCTTTGAAACAAAACCATGAAAACACTTAATGTTACAATCACACGAACCAGTCCGACCGATTCCCAAGCTGACTTACATATGAATGATTTTTGAAAACTATGGTAGAATTCATTTACCCCATATCACACTGTTGATTATGTGAAGATACCCGATGGGCGTGGTCATAATGACAACTCGGGAGCTACGCTCCCTGGTGTATTTTTGCCCACGCCCATCGGGTATCTACACATAACCAACAGTATGATATGGGGTAACTACTACATACACCAAAAAACCCACTTTTAAAAATGTGTCTTCTTTTGTGCAATTGCAATCAAAGATCTAAAAGTTTTGGGCTATGTATTACAGTTAATATGTGATTAAGCAGCTACTTTAACAAAGAAAAGCAGTTTTGGTCAACAAGATGATTGACAATAATTCAGCACAATGCAAGGCCTCATCATGCCTCATCGCACTTCCAGTGAGGGACAGCTAATCAAACAATAGAGAGGCATTTTTTAGTTAAAAGTGTTTAAAAGAGGCAATGTTTTTACTATCTATGCCCTAGGTTGTTTTTATCAAACCTTTTAAAAAAATATCAGCCATAATTTTCATGTGACTTTTTGTCTGCTTTTCATAGAACATAAACTTTATTCTAAAATAGCTAAATAAAGCTATATTATATAGGTAAATAAAGCTATATAGGTAAATTAAGCTCTATAGCTAAATACACCTTTAAAGCAAATTTAGTTCGCAAATCTTCTCGTTAATAATTATTAACATTAATCTTCTTACTTAAATACATGTATGATAACATAACCTTGCGATGTATTTGGTATCTTGTGTCAAAGGTACACGTCCTACTATTTCTGATTTTCCTGGACCAGAAATAGTCTAAAATATCTGATGTTTTCCATTCTTTTGGTAGGTTTGCAATATTTTACATGCTATAAAACGTCAGCATCAGCGTCATAATGAAAACAGGCGCGATTTTCGACTTCTCCAATCAGAATTTATTTTCAATACTTGTGAACTGAATTAAATGCAAAAATCAGAATTTATCAGTAGCACAATGCTTCAAGTACTCTGACACCAATGTTGATGAAAAGAAAACATCACTCCACATTTCGTTCAGTTTTTGCAAGATTTTAAAATGCACGAAATGTAGACAAATCTTGACAATCTCATATAATGTCTTAAATTATCAGATTGTATATTTTATAAATGAACCATAAAAACAATATTGGTTAAGTCCTAAATTATTGTACTATCAATGACTTGTGAGTTTGACATTTAATTCAGTTCGTATCTAAAATCAATCTGACAATGCCACGTTCTTCAAAATTCCATTTTCATAATGGCGCCAGCTCTGATATTTTCCTGGCACATAAAATATCAAATTGTCAATGTCTAGTCCCTCTATCCATCCATCTGCAAACGTTAATCATTTTACACTTCTCTTCATGTACTGACTTTACCAATTTCAACAAAACTAAATAAAACTTTCTGCAAAGTATCCTTGCATTCATTTATTAATTGAAAATCTCTGCTCCTGGGTATTATGTAAGGGTTAATGTACGAGTTAGCGCTCCATTCCTTAAAGGTAATGGAGCCGAGGCCCATTACTTTTAAGGAATGGAGTGCTACGAGTATATTAACCCGCGTAAAATCCGCCTTTCTGAATGCTTGTTTTTATTGTTTGTTAATACATAATAAAGAATATTTATATGATACATTGTAAATACTTTTTACATATTAGTAGTATTATTTACATATAATGTAGAAAGAAAAACTAAAAAAAGTGTACTGAAGTTAATCTAAACCCATGACTCTCAACAGCTTTGTTAGCTCAGTGAAATGAGCATCGGACTGCTATGGTGAGGATACCGGGTTCGATTCTCATCATGAGTGCTCTAATTCTCTTAATGTGAAACTTTAACACTTTCTAAAACTCTTCTCTAAAATTTTATAAGTTCTTTCCTTGGTAGAGGCACGGAAAGGAGAATAAGACCATAACAAATTCCGTTTTCAATGTAATTTGCAACTCTCCATTCCTTAAAAGTAATGGAGCGCTCAAACAAAAGAATGACGTCACAGGTGGATTTTACCAACAAGTTATGATGAGCAAAGTTGCCTTTTCGACAGTTTTGAAATATAGTTGGCCCAGGGTCAGTGGATCCTGTGATCTGCCTCTGGGTATTAAGTATTAAAGTAAGCATGCTAAGTGTACAGTAATGATTGGCAAGGGTACCGCTTTCAAAATTGTTAATTTCTTGGCCTCTTGTTTTAAATAAGAACCAATTCATTTCAATTGCTGGAATGTTGTTGCATGATACTCAGTTGACCTATAAGGCCCATGGCCTCTTGTTTTTTCATTGGTTATCATGCATTTGATCAAATAAGTAAGAACTGTCCTCCTGATGGCACCAGAAAACACTTTCATGATTAATTCCTGAATAAAATTCCAGGCTTAACAGTCTGAACAAATGTTGTCTTCAAGTTGACAGCATTATGAAATAATAATGGCTTGCTGTTACTAAGAAAACTACTGTAATTGAATTTTGCAGATATTGTATTATGTTGAGAAAATTTCTCTCTTAGGCAAAAAAAAATTAATTTCTTGGTTCTCAGGCCCTCCCTCATCTCCTCCAAGGGTGCCTCATTGACCCTTTTTATTGCTAAATCAATAAAATATAAACATCCAATCACCTCCCTCATCATTTTTTGAGGTTTTGTACAATGTAAAAAGCTGCCTCATCATGTTTTGGGGGCAATAAAAAAGAAAAAAAATGCCTCCCTCCCTCATCATATTTCTTGAAAAAAGGCCTGAGAACCAAGTAATTAATTTTGCATGGCCTTAATATTTACTATAATAGTTACAGTCCTTTTTATTGCTTAATATTTAGGTTCACATGAGGAGAGTCTCAAAAGAGTGTTTGGAGAAAGTCAAGTTTCAGAGACAGACATGAAAATAGCTGTAGCTGAACATCTACTGGGAAAGATTTCAACAGGGTGTACATGCATTATTGATATTAATAAATTAAAAGACAAGGGAAGATGTCAGTGTGGATGTGGAATGTTTCCATCGTTTGGATTCACAGGGATTGGTATGTTTTTGTCCAGGCTTAATTTAAGCTACACTTGTCTTAGTTTGAAAGTGGACATTCTAATTCTATTTCAAATTGATAAAGAATTATTTATATCTTTTCAACACTAGGTCATAAGGATGTGTGGCATGGGCATATTGATCTCATCTTGTCGTCTCATCATGGACTACCTTCCTCTGACGTAGCTGTAAAAATGGTCGATATATGTGAAGATGATGTGCCTGCAGAGGAAGATGAAATTGAGGAAGAAATTCCAGGAAAAAGGAGAAAAAAAGAAGGTAGCAGAAATATAAAAACATATGACTAAGATAATAATCTTTTAACCCTTTGCCTTATTCATATGGGGAGCTTAAATAGAAGAAAGAAATAGGTACCCTTACTTGTGCTATTTTTAAGCATAATCTAAAGGAATACATGTACTAATTTAATATACATGTACACAAGTATGATTTTTTTTTTTCGGTTTCGCTCCATTTTGCAGAGAATACGATTACAAACATTATATAGTGTATTGGTTGTAAATAAGTAAATTTTTACCTGTGGTGTGATCTGATTTTTGCAATTTTTAATTCAGAATAAGTTTGAAATAAATGAAGATATTTTAAAAATTTTTGAGACAAATCACTTGAGTTTATTGTTAGAATATTTCTACCAAAGAAACATGCTTGGTCATATTTATATTGAAGCATCCTCAGTTGGTGTAGATTCAGTTTTGTTCAAATCATAAACCCCCCCCCACCCCCCCAGGAAAGGGTGGGGCCAAAGTGGATGAACAAGTTTTACATAAGAATTAATTTGAGAAATCTCCTCCAAAATAGGAAGGACATAATTGATCATATTTGGAAGAATCCTCCACTAGTGTAGATTCAAGTTCATATTATGACCCAAGGGATAGGGTGGGGCCACAATAAAAGGTACAAAGTTTAACTAGGAATTTTTTTTTCATACACAGCAAAGGCATGATTGGTCATGTAAGAAGCATTCTAGGGAAGAATGGATTCAAGATCATTTGAATAATGACCCCTTAAGATAGGGCAGGCACAACAGAAGATAAAACTTAAAGGAAAAAAGTCCTAAAAAATCTGCTTCTTATTTAAAAAGCCATAAGTCAAATAAATATTAAAGCATCCTCAATAATGAAGATTAAAGTTTGTTCAAATCACTCCCCTTTTATTGGCAGGTCTTGACCTCATATTTATTTAATGAACTTTCAATACTGAACCCCAACCCAAAGGGCTAATGTGAGTGATATGGCCTCAGAGAATCTTGTTTTAGAACGGAAAGGAGCTATGGATTAGATGAGATGAGTTTTACTGTACTTATTATCAACTGATTCTAAGGCCAAAAAATTAATTAATAGTTTCTGAGGCCAAAAAATTCAATGGGGCAGGCAGGCTTTTTTTAAAAACAGGTTTTACACCTTTTTCAAGCCATCAATAAATGATATCTACTAATTCATAATTTTTGTTTTCTGAAATTAGTTATTATATGTATTCAACTTTAAATAGTTTTGTTCCAAACATTTTTTTTTAAAAAAAGTTAATTAATAAAATATATATTTTAGGCCATACAAAGTTAATTATTTGGTTCTCAGGCCTTTTTTCAAGAAATATGATGAGGGAGGGAGGCATTTTTAGCTCACCTGAGCGGAAGGCTCAAGTGAGCTTTTCTGATCACATTTTGTCCATCGTCCGTCCGTCTGTCTGTCCGTCTGTAAACTTTTCACATTTTCGACTTCTTCTCAAGAACCACTGGGCCAATTTTGACCAAACTTGGTACAAAGCATCCTTGGGTGAAGGGGAATTTAAATTGTTAAAATGAAGGGACATATCCCCTCGCAAGGGGAGATAATCAAGAAAAGACAAAAATAGGGTTGGGTCATTAAAAAATCTTCTTCTCAAGAACCAGTGGGCCAGCTGAAACTTATGTGGAAGCATCCTGGGGTAGTGTAGATTCTAAATTGTTAAAATCATGACCCCTGGGGGGAAGGGCGGGGCCACAATGGGGAATCAAAGTTTTATATAGAAATATATAGGAAAAATCTTTGAAAATCTTCTTCTCAAGAACCACTGGGCCAGAAAAGCTGAAACTTATATGGAAGCATCCTGGTATAGTGTAGATTCTAAATTGTTCACATCATGACCCCCGGGGGAAGGGCGGGGCCACAATGGTGAATCAAAGTTTTACATAGAAATATATAGGAAAAATCTTTGAAAATCTTCTTCTCAAGAACCACTGGGCCAGAAAAGCTGAAACTTATGTGGAAGCATCCTGGTATAATGTAGACTCTAAATTGTTTAAATAATGACCCCCGGGGGAAGGGCGGGGCCACAATGGGGTATCAAAGTTTTACATAGAAATATATAGGAAAAATCTTTGAAAATCTTCTTCTCAAGAACCACTGGGCCAGAAAATCTGAAACTCATGTGGAAGCATCCTGGTATAAAGTAGATTCTAAATTCCTTAAATAATGACCCCCGGGGGAAGGGCGGGGCCACAATGGGGGATCAAAGTTTTATATAGAAATATATAGGAAAAATCTTTGAAAATCTTCTTCTCAAGAACCACTGGGCCAGAAAAAGTGAAGCTTATGTGGAAGCATTCTGGGGTAGTGTAAATTCTAAATTGTAGGAATCATGACCCCCGGGGGAAGGGCGGGGCCATTATAGGGAATCAAAGTTTTACATAGAAATATATAGGAAAAATCTTTGAAAATCTTCTTCTCAGGAACCACTGGGCCAAAAAAGCTGAAACATATGTGCCCATGGAAGGATCATGGGGTAGTGTAGATTTCAAAATGTCTAAATTATGATCAGTGGGGTAGGGTGGATGCATTATGTATAACAAGGGGGAAATCTGGTAAAGAACAGAATGGTCAGAGCTTCTCAGGTGAGCGATGTGGCCCATGGGCCTCTTGTTTTTTCTTTTTTATTGCCCCCAAAACATGATGAGACAGCTTTTTATATTGTACAAAACCTCAAAAAATGATGAGGGAGGTGATTTGGTGTTTATATTTTATTGATTTAGCAATAAAAAGGGTCAATGAGGCACCCTTGGAAGAGATGAGGGAGGGCCTGAGAACCAAGAAATTAATTTTTTTTTTTGCCTTAGAAAAAATATATTGTTTTTATAAGAAAAACGTCTATCATAGCATTTATGAAAAGGGGAATAACTCAATTTTCTTTTACAACTTCGAAAAATTGAAAATTGAGTTATATCCCTTTTCAATATGTCACTAAAATTGATCAATGCGGCAGTTTTTGAACTGAGAAACTATTAATTAATTTTTTGGGGGCCTCATATCAAGTTCATTTCATTGTCTACTATTTTAGGCAATTTGGAAGAAGCCAGGCATGCAAGAGAACAGACATTAGCACAAGCAATTGTCTTTTCCCTACTTCAAAAGCAGCAGCGACCTAATTTAAAACATTTCCTTATTCCAACGATTTTAATATCCCCAGAAAAGATGCAGATTGTGATGTATGATGCAGAATATGATGTGTTGCTCTGCAGTAACATTATGGACTTGTTTATCCCGGGCCCTGAAGGAGCGTGCCTGAGACCAGAGACGGTGATTATAATTTGGACGGTTCTCCATTATCGAATGTTCTGTCCAGGCCTACCCATTCAAACACGTTCAGTGCTTCATGCTTATAGATCACATTTCCAGGAACTTGCAAGGGAAAAATGGGACATATATTCCAAAAAATTAGAAAGTGAAGTTGCCGAATTTCCACTGATTGATGAAGAGTGTGACTTTAATGACGTCTTTTTATATACCATGGATATCATTGATGATGAAAATTAATGTAAAGCTATAAAGTTAATACTGAATTGTGTTCATGTTTCAATTTCCTTCAGCTTTCTTTAAGGAAAAATACGGACTGCTTGTGCATTTTTTTCTTTCGTTAAACATGGCGATTTAAAAAGTCTATGATTTTGACAAAAGCATAATTTCACTATTCCGAGCCAGTTAGTCATGTGATACATGTACAATTCAGAGAGCTGGCGATGGAAAATCTGAAACATACTCGTCAAAATTGTTTGTAAATCGAATGTAAATTCATATCGCATGACCGCCCCACTGATCGACTTATCTGAGCAAGATAAATATCAACAAGAAATACTTGGAACCTCATACACAGGGGCTTACTCCTGACGTGTAATATCTAAGAGATAAATGGGTAAACATGGGATAAATACATATAACGTTATGTATTAGGCCTACCGGCAAACTTATCTATCATCATGTAGGGGCCTAGATATGTATGTACATACTAAAATAACAGTATTTGAAAAGTATTAAGTATACTATTTTTATGCCCCCCTTCAAAGAAGGGAGGGCATATTGCTTTGCTGCTGACTGTCGGTCGGTCTGTCGGTCCACTTAGTTTCCGTTCAATTTCTTCACAACTCTTGCACATACTGAAATGAAATTTGGTATACAAATATATCACATGAATATCTAGGTCATGATCTGTTTTGGGTACAATTGCACCATTTTTGACAGAGTTGAGCCCCTTGAACTTAGAAGAATTTCAATTATTTGCAGTTTCCTTTCATTTCCTTTGCAACCATTGCACATACTGAAATGAAATTTAGTATACAGATTTATCAGTTGAATATCTAGATTAAATTCTGTTTTGGGTACCATTGCACCATTTTTGAAAGTGTTATGCCCCTTGGACTTAGAAAAATTCTAATTATTGGCAGTTTCCGTTCCTTTTCTTTGCAACCATTGCACATACTGAGATGAAATTTAGTATATAGATTTATCAGATGAATATCTAGATCAAATTCTGTTTTGGGTACCATTGCACCATTTTAGACAGAGTTATGTCCCTTGGACTTAGAAAAAAATTCCAATTATAAAAATTTGCAGTTTCTTTTCATTTTCTTTGCAAAGGTTGCACATACTGAAAAGAAATTTGGTATACAGATTTATTAGATGACTATCTTACTCAAGTTCTATTTTGGGTACAATCGCGCCATTTTTGACAGAGTAATGCCCTTTTGGACTTGGAAAAATTCCAATTTGGGGGGAGGGGGGCATAAGTGTTTTATAAACATCTCTTGTTTAATAAATTTTATAAAATGTTTTTTGGTCAATCTATAACTCTATCAATGAATTAATATAAAAAAAAATAAATAGTAACACCAGTAACATGGCAACATCATTGAATTCATGAAAATCTTAATTTGAAATAGATGAATAACATATCAATATAATACATGGAATTTCTCTCAAAATTAATTTTTGTCTCGCAATCTGGAAATGTAAAAGTGTTTTGTATTATATTAAATATGAACACTTTTGTTATATACTTGCTGAGGTTTTGTACATTGATTTTACAGGGCCATTATCATGTATATGACTTGAATTGAGATTAATATGACCTGCTGAACTTTTAAACCCGTGTTGTCATTTTTTCACTACGCAACTAAGGTTTACATAGATTTTGATACTTTGCGCACGGTGTTGGTACATATTGACGTTACGTCAAAATAACGTTAACAAGTTAATTCAGAGAATTCGTGTCCCCCGCTTAGGGAAAAAGTCGGCTCCCCCTGACTGAATTTGTAGAATTATTAAATGTATACATGTATACTGAAGGAAATAAAATACATGTATGTCAATATGCATATAAAGATTTGATTGCTTATTCTTTATTATGTGTATAGAAGATTTTTTCATATGGAATATTTATCACACTGTAATGATGATTTTATAACCTCATAAATTTTTCATTTCACATGCTGAATACTATCATTTAGTAAAAAAAAAAAGTATTTAAAAAAAAAAAAAGAAAGAAAAAAGAACGGTACGACCGATATTCGATCCCGGGACCTCTCACATTTGAGGCGAGAGACATAACCACCAGACCACGGAGTCTCTTTACCCGGAATGAAGTATATGCAGAACTGAAGTCACATACATGTATATATTCATGTTTTCATGTTCGGTATTCTCAAAATTTTACACAATCCATGGTGTTTGATTTATTTAGCCTTTATTAAACAGTTCTAATAGATGTAATAAGAACATAAAGTCCGCCGAGAACCTGTTTTATACGCAATAACTCTCCTCATGCCCCTGCGCTAAAAATAGCGACATGTAATACTATAAATACTAACAAAACAAACGGGGCGGGGCACTTTGAGAGGGGCGAGAGACGTCCTAGGGAGTTTTGGTATAAAATTACATTGCATAAACTCAAAATCTTCTTGAAATATCGCCCGAAAATGATAGTGTTACACACAGACAGAATGTATAAATTTACGACCTTGAACTTTGACCTTTTGACCTCAAAATCAATAGGGGTCTTCGTTAGGCCACAGGGAGTTGCTATGTAAAATTTCATTGCAATAGCTCAAATGGTTCTAGAGATATCGTGTGGAAACGAAAGTGTTTTAACAGACAGAATTTGCTTATTTATGACCTTGACCTTTGACCTTTTGACCTCAAAATCAATAGGGGTCTTCTTTAGTCCATAGGGAGTTGCTATGCTAAATTTCATTGCAAAAGCTCAAAGGGTTCTCGAGATATCGTGTGGAAACGAAAGCGTTACAGACAGACAGAAAGACGTCCGTCCGTCTTTCTGTCTGTCTGTAACGCTTTCGTTTCCACACGATATCTCGAGAACCCTTTGAGCTTTTGCAATGAAATTTAGCATAGCAACTCCCTATGGACTAAAGAAGACCCCTATTGATTTTGAGGTCAAAAAGTCAAAGGTCAAGGTCATAAATAAGCAAATTCTGTCTGTTAAAACACTTTCGTTTCCACACGATATCTCTAGAACCATTTGAGCTATTGCAATGAAATTTTACATAACAACTCCCTGTGGCCTAGTGAAGACCCCTATTGATTTTGAGGTCAAAAGGTCAAAGTTCAAGGTCGAAAATTTATACATTCTGTCTAAGTGTAACACTATCATTTCCGGGCGATATTTCAGGAAGATTTTGAGCTTATGCAATGTAATTTTATACCAAAACTCCCTAGGACCTCTCTCGCCCCTCTCAAAGTGCCCCGCCCCATTTGTTTTATTAGTATTTATAGTATTACATGTCGCTATTTTTAGCGCAGGGGCATGAGGCGAGTTATTGCGTATGAAACAGGTTCTCGGCGGACTTTATGTTCTTGTTACATCTATTAGAACTGTTTAATAAAGGCTAAATAAATCAAACACCATGGACTGTATAAAATTTTGAGAATACCGAACATGACACATGTATGTGACTTCAGTTCTGCATATACTTCACGCTGTGTAAAGCGATTCCGTGGTCGAGTGGTTATGTCTCTCGCTTCACATGCGAGAGGTCCCGGGATCGAATCCCGGTCTATCCTTTCTTTTTTCTTTTCTTTTTTTTTTTTTTTAAATACATGTACTTTTTTTTTTTTACTAAATGATAGTATTCAGCATGTGAATTGAAAAATTTATGAGGTTATAAAATCATCATTACAGTGTGATAAATATTCCATATAAAAAGAATCTTCTCTACACATAATAAAGAATAAGCAATCAAATCTGTATATGCATATTGACATACATGTATTTTATTTGCCCCAGTATACATGTATACATTTAATAATTCTACAAATTCAGTCAGGGGGATCCGACTTTTTCCCTAAGCGGGGGACACGAATTCTCTGAATTAGCTTGTTTCTATATAGCGTCCGCATGCGCTTTGGGTGCATAGAGAAAAAATGAGTTATAATTTTTATACTTCCTACGTTTCAATGAAACTGGTGTCATTTTGAATAAAAAAATCAGTATCAATTTAGTATATTGAGGGGATGAAAAATAAAGGAGGGATGGAGACGTTTCACCATTATTGAATATCTGGTTTATCATAAAAATTCTTGGTGAAAGAAGGGGGGTGGGGGCTTTTATAATGCATACTTCGTTTAATAGGGTATTTTTGTGGAACAATATCATTTTGGGTTTTCATAATTTTTTCCTTTGGTACATGAACACATGATGATTAAGTGTAATAAGTATAAATTGTTAAAAAATCTCCAACAAGCTCCGGGGTTGAATTATCGGGGGTGGTTCCTGCATGCATGGCCACATGTTCTGTGAGCTGGTACTACGGACCTGCATGAAAAAAGCCACGGCGATAATAATTTGACGCTCCCGACGTCATATGTATGCACTGCGTAAAATGACGTTTTTCGTACCTGTGACAAAATGGCTACACTTTTATTGATGCTTGTATTTATTTATATGCTACACATACAGTACAATTTGGGATTGTATGAGGTTATTATCATAAAATCCCTTACATGTTTTCCAGACCCACCTCTTCCAACTATTCCCCTTGAGAGAGGCATAGACATCTGGGAGAAGTATGCAAAGAAGGATAACTCATGATTGCCTTAATTTTGGGTTTTTTGTTGCTATAAATTGTGACAATGTTTATTCATGTATGTGATAAAGAAAAACCTCTAACAGGACAATAGAAATAGGAAAAAGGATTTTTTTTAAACGTTTGTCACGCATTCTCAATTTATAGTGCCAAATCGACTTTGGGAAAAGTCAAAACATTTTGTGAACTGAAACTAACACTTTTATATGTCATTTGAAACATGAAAGTGTATAATTATTAAAAATCACAATTTGATTTACATACTTCATGCTGTGTTTTGTTGATCTCCTTCGAAATGAATGCGGTTGGAGGGCTAATTTTACACCAAGATATTTACGTTATATTGAAAAGCCATAATTGGAAACGAAAGAATTTTTTTAAAAATACAAAATTAAGATAATACAAATCGAATTTTGTTAGCTAAAAAAATTTATGAAACCGTTTAAGCACCTTTGTAATAGGGTGTGGAATCTTTGATTCAATTATAAGCAAAAACAAAACAGGCATAATTTTCACTTAAATGAAATTATTTTCTTTTTATTTTAAAAAGTTTTTATCAAATCTGACGATAAGCTAAATAATGACAATATTACCTAAAATACTTCATTATTTAATTCTTTATTAATCTATTCAGAGAAACGCACATTATTTAAAATATCAGCAGGTAAAATATTTCGCCATTACCTGATTACGAAGTGTTTGTTAAATATCACGTAAATATTGCACATAGATGTCATACAAAAATAAAAGTATATTCGGGGAAAAATGAATATATTATTTCAAATTATTGAATTTTATGAATTTACTTATCTGTATTCTTGACAAAGGGTTGAATTGAAAACTCAATTTATTACTTATCTGTAGAGGAATCATTTAATTTATGACAACCCCCCCCCTTCCACCATTTAATCTGTTGATTATTTCAAATGCTTAACTGCTTGTGAAAACTTTATCGTCAAATCTCTAAAACAAAACAAAGTTACCCCCACCACCCTAAAAAGGTTTGTTAATAATTACATTTGCATATGATATGTGCTCCGATT